TGTCTCCAGGTTTTCTTCCCCTCCCTGCGCAGCCGTTCAGCCTTCGGCTCCGGAGCAGCAGAGGGGAGGAAAAGGGGGGTCCCGGGGCTCCCCCCCAGAGCTGGGCTGGAGACGCACTTTCACTTTTACTGCCTTTTAACAAGCTTGTGTTCCTCTGAGCTTTGTGTTTAATAAAGGTTTCTACTGACTCTGGCCTTTGGTGCAGGTGGCTGGGGGCATTAAGGGGTGGTGGGGACCCAACCCGAGAAACCAAGGGGGTTTGGGTTATTTTGTGGGTTTTGGGGTGGGTTTTTTTTTTTTTTCTTCCATTTTGAACTTGAAATGCACGAGCCAGTATGTCACTGCCTGCTGGGCTTGCAGGAAGTGCTTTAGTGCTTTCATCCTTGGGGGGAGGGAGGGGGTCCAGCCCCCCTCCTGCAGCTCCACATGTTCCCGTGAGTGGGGTGGGAGATGGGGCTGATCCTGCGCCCCTCTGCTCCTCCAAAGAGGCCATGCTCCAGGGGGATGGGGCTGGATGTGGGGATCGTTAGTCCTTTCAGCAGCCCCTGTCCACTCTCAGCTCCTCTCCTGCCTGCCCCCCTCCCCTGCTTTCCCCCTGGTTTTGGGTCAGTGTTCGCACGGGGGTGCCCGCTGCTGTAGCTCCTGTGCAGGGAGGAGGAAGGCGGCGTGGGGCCCTATGGAACAAGTCCATGCATCCACTGCACTGGCATGCTCCCAGTGGCTTCCCAGCTCCTCTGTTTGCCCCAGCACTTCTTGGTCCTGCCTGAAGGCAGCTGCTGGCACCAGTTCATGGCCCAAAGTTCAAGGTCCCCGTGTCCCTGCTCACTGGTTCCCCAAGCAAGCAGCAGCCCTGATCCTGGGCGCCCTGAGCCCCCCTGCGGCACACCATCCCCTTCCTGGGGAGGGACGCTTGGAGACTGCAGGGACCCCCTGGCAGCCTGAAGCGGGCCTGGGGGGGGCATGGCCCCCGCCCCAGTGGCAGGCAGGGATGTGCCGCTTCCCTCCTCTTTCTGCTCTGCCTCCTGCCTGTTTCTCCTTTAAACAGCCTGATAAATATTTCACCCCAGACTGGGTTGTGTAAGCTCACCCTGCTCCTGCGCCAGCTTTTACAGGGAAGGGGAGCCTGGCTCCAGGCTGGGCTGCCAGCGGGTGCTGGGGGGCACAGGGAGCCCATCGCCACTGCCTGGCCTCCCACCGCCACCCCAGCGTGGTCCCCAGCTCACTGTGCTGCCTTGGGGTAGCTCGTCCTGTGGGACATGCATGGGTGGCCGTGGGCTGTGGTAAGGGTGGGAAACCCCACACCCCAGCCCCATCCATGGGGCCAGGTCCCGGCAGCGTCCCCGCTCCCAGCCCTTCTTCCCGCAGCCCCCTGGGGCTGCCTGGGGCTCGGGAGCAGGGCCAGCCAGGGCCTTGGTGAGGAGGGCAGTGTGCTGTATTGTGCCGTGCCATGCCGTGCCAAAAGCCAGCGCCCAGGAGGGCAATCGCACAGGGAGCCCATCTGTGCTGGCATGGGGTGATCTGGTGGCTTGCTGTCACACCGTTGAGCCTTTTCAGGCAATTAAAGTGAGAGAGCTCTTCTGCTGCTCCAGTCCACAGGGGTCCTGCCCCACAGAGCCAGGGCAGAAGGAGGGGGACACCGGTGTGGGTGGGCATGGCCCCCAGTCCCCCGCCGGTTGCATCCTTCTTTCCAAGGTCGACCTTTGTCACCTGAGGTGACGTTGCTGCTGAAGCTTTGCTGGTTTCCTGTGGGGCGCCCAGCCCAGCCATACACCAACTCATCCCCATCCCCACACATGGCAGGATCCGGCCCTCCTTCTCCTCTCCCCCTTTTCATTTCATTCTCGTGGAGGGTGATGGTGATCTGTGGTGCTGCCCAAAGGGGTGAGATCCCGGTGAGGGGAAAGTGGCCATTGGCTTCCAGGGGAGCCAGCGGGCGCAGGGAGAGGGGAGAGGACTCACGCCAGCATCCCAGTCTCTGCAGGGCCATTCCCAACAGTGAGCGAACCCCTGGCAGCAGCAGCGCAACTTTTCCTTTTCCTCCGAGCAAAGGCGAACCTCCCTGATGGCATTCACCACCACATTCCCCTAATAGGGAACCTCATAGGATGATGAGCCCTTGGGACTCCTGGTCCCCATGAAAGCAGAGCCCCGGCAGGGAGAGGACCGTGTCCCCGCTTTGTCAGTGCAGCCCATCTCCTGGGGGACGTGTCGGCAGCTCCGCGTGAGCCAGAGCACCACAGAAATAACTGCTCTGCCTCCCAGGGATGATTCACGGTGCAGCTGAAGGGCTTCCCTCCTGCTATTTCGAGTCGCTGGAGACAGAGCTGATGATAGCTCGTGCAGGGGCTCTTGTTTCTGAAGAGCACATGGCAGCTTTAGGAAGTGGCTGCGGGTGCTGTCTCGTTTTATGAGCTCTCTGCACCATGGATGCTTTTCTTTGTTGGGCGAAGCAGACATGGTGTGGCTCAATGGGCACCCTGCATGCATCCTGTGTGTCTCATGGGTCCTTGGCCCCTGTTTGCTCCCGCCTCCCATTCCCTGGCAGTAACCCTGGGGGTGCCTGGTGCCGTCGGGCTGCAGCGGCAGCTCCATTGGCACCGGCAAACGCTGCAGCGGGCGGGGAGGGCTGAGTTGTGCTGGATGCTGATGTGATGCTGAGCCCAGGCAGTCGTGGGGGTCTCCTCTCCCCATGCTGCAAGGTTTGGATTCAGAGGAGTCAGGAGAGCTCAACGGTGGGATGAGCTCTGGGCCAGGCTGGCAGCAGCTGGGGGACAGCATTAGGTGCTGACACAGCATAAAGTTTGCCAGAATTTTTTATACCTTTAATCCAATCCCCCTTGGAGGGTCTGGGCAGATTTTGGGGTCTCTGTAGGCCCTGCTGGTACCTCTGTGGTACCCGGGGTGCTGCCAGCACCACTTTGCCTTGCTTCTGCATCCCGCCCCACGCTTCAGTAGTGCCACTTCCAAAACCCACTTGCGTTTCTTCCCCAAGGAGATATGGCAGGGAGGTGAAGTGCAACATCACTTATTCATGAGATGCCGGTGGGCAGGCACTTTATTTAATTCCTGCCTGGTTGTGGCCCTGTGCCTCCCAATCGGGGGAGCAGAGCAGAGCCCTGGTGTCCCCCCCCAGCCAGGGACGAGGCTGTGTCCCCTTCCCTGCCGGTGGCTTTTGGGGTGTGCTTTGGAAGTGCCTGTGGAAGGAGCTGGGGCCACCTATTGCCTCCAGCAGTTTTGCCATGGACTTTGCCCTCACTTCCCAGCTGCTCCTTCCCACATTGCAGCTCATGCTGACCCCGAGGCATCCCCATAGGGACTGAGCACAGATTTTAGCAATATGGGAGTGCGGGAAGCCCCCTCCAGGGCTTTGCTTTGATCCACAGCAGAGCCCCGCCATCGCCCGAGCCCCTTCCCATGCTCCCTGGCAAGGTGATCCCCTGTCCCCGCTGCCGTGGGGCCTCCTCTGCCTGTTTCTCTAGTGCCTGTCTCTGTTTTAGTTCAATTTGATGATGGCCATGCTTGACAGCTCCAGCTCTTGGGCTTCTTTCTGTCCCCCCAGGGGCAGGGAACAGCCCTGTGCTGCGTGGGCTGGGTGCAGGGGGTCCCCAGAGCCCTGCATACCCCTGCCAGGTCCCAGCTGCACTTTTCTGCCTCTTTTCCCTTGCGCACACTCGGAGCAGCTGGGAGATGATAAAAATAAATGTGATGCATCCTTGCAAGTGCTCCGGGCTCAGCTTGCAGCCGGTTGTCCCCGGGCGAAGAGGAGGAGAGCAAGCGAACTACACGTGCAGCGGCTCGGTCACGTTGGGCTGGGGAAGTGTCTGGGTTTTGAGAGCTGGGTTAAGGGAAACCGAGCTCAGCAAAATGGGTTGGCCTCGAGAGGTCTATGTGCAGGGAGAGGTGGTGCAGATGGGGGCAAGACCGGCTGGGATTTTGCATCCAGATTTTGCACACCCCTTTTTCTAAGTAAAATTCTGGGGTACTCTGAGAGGGACAGGAAGAAGCCCAGCACCCCAAGAAATCACCACACCACTTGTACCCCAGGAGCGGTGTGAAGCTCTGCCCATGGCCAAATTTGGGCCACCCCAGGGCCAACTGGAGCAACCAGGGCTACCCCAGAGCCAACTTGTGACCATATTGAGACCACCCATGGCCAAATTGGGACCAACTGGGGCCACACTGGGGCAATCAGGGCTACCGTGGGACCAACAGCAATCATATTCAGACCACCTACAGCCAAACTGGGACCATCTGGGACCACACTGGGGCAATCAGGGCTACCCTGGGACCAACAGCAACCACACTGGGACCACCCATGGCCAAACTGGGACCAACTGGGGCAACCAGGGATGGTCGCACCACAGCGTGACCACCCAGGGCCGCACCGGGGCCACCGTGGGCTGCATTGGAGCCAACTGGGAGCACAGGGGGGTGCACTGGAGCCAACTCTACCCAGCCCGGGGTAACCCCACAGCCGAGCGGGCCCCGGGGACG